GACCAGCTCAAACGACTCATGCAATCTGCTTTCCACCAGTCACCAAAAACCTCTTCGGATGTGCAGTCACCTCCAGAACCCACTTTCAGAATGAAAACAGTCTCCAGCACATTTTTATGCTGCTCTGAAGCACAAATCAAAGACCAAAAATGATTATTTTGCTCTTACCAACCTCTTTTTCGAGACCAGGTTCTGCAAAAATCAGTGAAAATCCGCAGAAGTCGTCAGATTTGCCACACCAGGGACTGCACCCAGAGAGACACGTGTTACAAGGAGCACACAGCAAGCCAAGGACACAATGCAAAAACATCACTGTGGTCGAGACTCCAGAGTGCACAGGGTGGAGGTGCCACTCTCCTACACACATTTGACATTCTGCAAGGTTTTTCTGTTTCACAGCGGAACACATGAGCGGTTATGTTTTTATGGAGCTGACAGGCAGATCCAGGGCCCTCACACACAGCAGCATCTGCCAGTTACATGAAAAATGTAACTCCAAACCTTCCCTAAGGTTTACAAATAGGAAAGTATAATAGCAGATGTTAGAGATGGCTCACAGCCTCCAAAAACTTCCCCTAAATAATATCAGGCCTCTATGAGGAACAGCTGAGGTACAGCCTTTACAGAATTTAGATGAAAGAAAGAGGCTTTTCTTCTCAAATTCAATGTTTTACATTTGATAGGAATTTAAATACTGTATTTTATATTAAAACAAAACAAAAACCCACCACCACTGCCAGTGTTTGCTTTTAAATGCAAATTTCCTGTCGAATGCACCACCTGCAGCTAACAGACCATTTGCCTTCAGTGAACCAGACACTAGAGCAACTTTGTTATTATGCCCAAAACTGTGTTTTGACTTTATACATAGTTTTTGTTCAGGACAACACCCCATTTCCTGACACTTCTTATTTTAATAAGGAGAACACAAACATTAACTTTCAATCCCATCCTACACTGCAGTTCAGCTCATTACTTTGGACAGTCATAAGAAACAAAGCAATGATTTTGCTGTTTCTCAGTACTACACCACACTGAACAGCTTGAAAAACCACTGGCTTCTTGCTGTAATAAAGCAGTAATACTCTCATATTCACATTAAAACCGAAAAGAAACTAAGTAAAAAACAAAGACCAAAAAAAAAATGGCAAGACAAAAATCCTGGTAATATTTCATTTTTGGTAAGTGTATTTTTTATATAGACTTAAATTGAAATGCAGGTTAATCTCAAAGAAAAGATTCAGAAAAAAATAAAATACTTCATACTTAGTTGAACTGAGGCCCTCAATGGTTGACATCATTTCATCATAAATATCTTCCTCTATCCTTCCCTTCTGAGATGAATTTCTGAGAACAAAATGAAGTCTCTGTCACAAAAGCTATTCAGAAACAACTCATGGCTACAGAGCACACTTTCTCAGCACATCAGTGGGGTAAGCTTCCAGGGAAAAACTAAACAAGAATGCTCCAAAACTGACAAGCAAATACATCGATGGGCACTTTAGTAGGCATTTCTCCAGTTACTCAAAACGTGCATTTTTCAATACAATGTTTTGATAAACTGAGAGAATGATTCAGCTCCTTACTTATCTCAGTGCTACAGGTACAATTGTAAGCATTTATACATATAGTGCCAATTCTTTATTACACTATAATGGCATATATTAATAATACTGAACAAAATATTGAAAAATATATATTTACTTGTAATATTTATATTTTCTGATGATATTATGTAAAACTGTTTATTTTGTGCTATAATATTACAAACAAGTCTGGCATCTGTGAGTAACTAAAAGTTGAGGTATCACAAGCAGGTAAATATACACATGTATACAGTATATGAGCTGGTTTGGTCTGTTTTCCACTGCTCCCTAGGGCTCTCCCCTCCCAACTCCCTTCCATTCTGCTGCAGCCCATCGAGCTAAACGAAACCTCAGTGACTGAGGGGCCAGCAAGACAAGGAAGGAGGAAGCTCCTTTTACAGTCTGCTAACAATAACAAGCATGAACTAAGAGAACTTTTAAAGGCCAAAGATTGAGCTTAACCTTTCTAACGCAGAAATACCACACACACAGCGATTAATCAACCAGAAGATCACATGCTTACAGCACATCGAACTGCAAGAGGAGCACAGGAGCACGTATTTAAAAAACAAAGAAGGTACTTGACAAACCTATCAGTTGTTCTCTGGCGCCCAGTGGAACACAAGGGTATTTCCTAAACAAAATAAAGAAAATAAGGTTTACTATGATTGTAGCATGCTAGAGATTGGCAGAGTCTGAATATTGATAAGTTCCAACAGAAAGAGGTGATGCCCAGATACCTTCTCAGTTCTGTGTACACATTTAACACTGAGAGTAACAGTAGACATTGAGCCACAAAAATCATGTCATATTCTGAGTTTCACACCACAGACAGCAGGAGCAGTTTGCAGTTGTAGGTTGACAATCGCTACTTGAGGCCTCACCTTTCTTTGCCTTCCTTGTGAAGTTGAAGAGTCACTGCTCACACTCTCTCTGTGGTTCAGGTGGGCAAAGGGCCTGGCTGCTCCCCAGGACTCCAAATAACGTGTCATCCGAACGGATGCTCTCATCTTCAGCCCGTCGTTAACTCTTGTTTTAGGGAGGTGATTATTTGATATGCATTGTTTGGACTAACAGGAAAAACAAAAACACACTCATTTAGAAAACAGAGTAGTTTAAGACTATACAATCTTGCTATTTAGTAGGACTCTAAACACATCAGCAACATGTCAGCCAACCTCAATTCCTTTATCTCATTTAATTAATGTGAGCTAAACCAAATCACGGTGTACACAATGAATTTGCTTCAGCTGCCTTTACAAGCCTTCACTTGCAACACAGCAGCAGTTAAACTTCCAGGTTTATTCAGGATGATGCAAGGGATCGCAGGATCTTATGGACAGATAAAGTTTCCTTGCAGTCAGCACAATACCGGGGAAAAAGATTCCAGATTCCTGAGCAAGGGTGTATCAAAACAGTTGTTAGGAGAAGATCCCACAAATTACAGACTCCACATCAGATTATATCCCTATATCGTGGGTGCTGAGTCAGGCAGTGTAGACAGGGTATAGAGCAATACCCTTGCAGGGTTACAAGGAAGCAAAAACTACAGAATAAACTGATACATCAGTGACCTGTTAGTCTCTAACATTTCACAAGCATCTTCAAGTTAGCAGAGACCTTTTTAATAGACTTACTCTCATTCTGAGAGTATGAGCTGTGTACATGAAGGGGGGGTGCCATGCTGGAAAAAGGAACAAAGATAAGATTCTTTCTAATTTAAAGATAAGAGTTCTTTCTAATTTAAAATGGTTCTATACTGGAAGTTTGTCATTTGTGTTCTTTTTTCATTTGAAATACTTTACTCATCAACCACAAGCCGATTCACAATAGCAATGCTCCAGGTGTTTGCAGTTACCAGGCTCTAAAGGAGCAACCAACAGTTGCTACCTTTACACCCTGAAAAGAGGGTGAACTTTACTTTTAAGGTAGTGAGGAAGATATCAGAAGCCATTTTACAGGGAATATTTTATCTGAAATTGGCCACACAGTACGGGTATTCTTCCATTACTTCATCTCACCTTTGACCTGGACTTGAGACACACTCTTCAGGCAAATATATAGCCAAATATGTGTTTTTATTCTAAGCTGACCACATAAGGGTTTTCAGCATAACACTTATTACCTTCAAGCTAACAGGCATGTCATAAAACAGCAGGACATGCTTTCAGATCTGAACTCCCAAATTCAAGCTACTCAGCTGACTTACACCACACTTTAATTCTGTTCCTGAATGAAAATATTGTATGCACCACAGAATCCTATGTACTTAAAATGTATGTACATATTTGAATAAATATATATGTTTAAAAACATACACATACCCTTGGATCAACTACTAAGTAAGTTTTGATATTCATGGATTCAAGGTAAGGATCCCTCAGGTGTCCATTCCCTTCTTCTACTTCATAAGCTTTGCCTAGGTGATTTAATGTTGCTTCAGTGATGTGCACACGGCTGAGAAGGGGAGAAAGAACAAGAGACCCAAACACTCACAGAAAGGTCACATTAAGCATTTCATTTACATTTCAATGGCCACTGCTGACATTTCTGCTTTTCAGCCATCTCCTGCTTTGGCAGCCCACTGCAAAATCCTGCCAGTACTTAACATTGTATTTGCAATCCTTTAGTGCAGTTCTTCGTTGCCTATCTTTAATAGCAAACATGCTGAAAAGCACTTCCCATAATGAGATACTATCAGTATAAAATTAAATTGAAATAAGCAGAGACATATAAGAAAGAAGAAGAAATGTGATCAAAGGAGATCTGATGACGGGCAAGACAGACAGACTCACAGGCAGCTTGTTTCAGATGGTGAGAGCTGCAGGGAAAACTCACGAACAAAACACAAGCGAGGACTGTCTTGTGCTAGAAATGCACGAGAAGGGGAAAAGACAGTTGCAAAGTCTGTGGGGAAAAAAGGGTGGAAAATGTTTTTTGTTAACTAGGAGGATAATTCTGAAAGTCTGTGTTTTCTGACTGAAACAATCTGAGGACAGCATGACACAGCAACACCACCAACACACTTCTAAGGGGAGCAGTTAGTATTGTTCTGTACCCATTCACACTTTCCCTTAAATATCATTTCCTTCAGTATCCCAAATTACATCTTTTCATATAGATTATGAGTAAAGTCTTTCCACATAATTTCTCAACAGGAGACTTGCGTGTATTCATAAAATATAATTCCTTATGTTCTGCTTTCCCATTGTTCATCTTCTCGTGCTTTTCTCATTTTTTTTTGGCACAGAGGGGTTAAACTCTGCTGTTAGTCCTACAATCCACTAGCTCAGGGCTGGGAATAGAACATTTCCATAATGGAAGCTGACAGTGTGCAGCACTCCTGCCTAACTGCAGAGAGTAGGGGAATCACCATCCCATCCACTTTTATTTCTTAATACTGTATGTAGGTTTGCACAATTATTTATGCAAGACCTGAAGATTACTGGCTGTGACGTCCAACAAGGAAGAAAAAAAATTCTTCAATACTCTTCAAGCCAAAAGGTAAGAGTTTTGGAATACAGATGGTGGATGCTTTTATTTGTATATTGATAATTGTTCCTCAAAAAAAAAAAAGAAGGTTAATTGTTACCTTGACTACACAGTTTCGCAGACAAGGTGAACATTCAAATCTGAAATTTTACAGTTTAATCTAAAGCGTAATTTTCTTCCACAGAGACTGGGGCATTCTGGGTGATTGACTGAGCCTTAAAACACAACCATGCACTGCAGCAAGTTTGCTGTGCTTTTCCACTCATCTCAAAAGGCAGTGCATTTGCTCACTCCCCACCTTCTCCATTTTACCAAGCTTCCTCTCTCCTCCTCAAATCACACACCGTCATAGGACATTTCCAATCATACTGCAAACTTCTTTCCCAATTTCTCAGCAGTTACTAATTGTTCACTGGATTCCAGGATGAGCACGTAACCAAAAGCTGCTCTCGCTGAAGCTGCCTCTCCCAGGCAGGCTGTGACATGCACTGCTGCACTTGTCATGCTGGGACACAACACCCAGCACACTGCACCCAGCTGCCTATGCTGACAGGCCTGAGAATAACATATCCTGATCTTTCAGGCCTATGCACAGTAGAGAGAATTGGTCATAAATGAATTTTTAATTTTGGTTTTATGCTACTCCCTTCTGCTTTAGTAGTGCATTATATTGTTATGAATGCAAATAATTTTTAAAATCAGAAATAAGGTGAACAAGGATACTCTGCCACTGGAAAGAAAATATTCAAAAAGCTAGAAGTTTTCCTGCAGCCTTTCAAAAGCCTTTAGAATTTCTTCATTTACAGAAACTCAGAATACATATACTTTCTATTTTAAATAAAATCTCTAACTGGCTCCTAATGACAAAACTTTTGCTTCCAAAGGAGCAGGACTACCTAACACTGGAATAGAGAATCCCTGACATATCATTTTTCTGCAAAGATAACATAACATTTGCATTGTGAATTAAAAGCCTTCCTCCCTGTCAGGCTCAGTCTTCCAAAAGTGGAAGGTGTTTCCTCTGGCAAGTTTTGAAACAGAAGATAAGCTACTGCTAGAAAGGTATATAGAAAGTATTAAGTGTAATATTTCTGAATCAGCATGACAACCTAAACCAGCTTAATTCTTTACCAGCTTATCAAATACAAACATGAAGACCATAAGGAAATAATCCAAGTTGTTAAGACTAGGCAATGGTCCTAAACATGACTAAGAAAGTATGTCTTCATGCCAGAGTTGTGTGGTTTGCTTTACCAACAAAAGAAACTTTACAACTCTGTATTCTTGCTTAATCAACACACTAAAAGACTCAACCCTACTGGTATTGCAATTGTTAACTAAGCTCCAACTAGTTTTCTTTCTGTTTCGGTCATCAACGTAAGAAAATTATTTGATATTCATATTCCCTTACCACTTGGCAGGAATTAATTTTTAAGTTACAAGCACATACTTAAAAGCTGTCTGAGGTGCAGAAATAATAAGCAATCTTGCAATGTCACTGGTTAGAATCTCTTTCCAAAAGAAACCAATACTTTAGTGCTTAAACATATACCCACATGAATGCCATTCAAATAAAAATTAGTAATTTGCATAGACCAGCAAGAAACTGAAAAATCAGGGTCTCATTTGGGAATGGAAAAAAGAAAAGCCTTATGATGGTCTTTTTATTCTAATCCCTAAACGCAACTTAGAAAACAGAAAAAAAGTATACTTTCCTAAATGAGGAAAATGCAAAAGGCTACTGTTTTTTAAAAACAATTATATTTCTCCTTTTCAATGAGCATCTTAAAAAGGCCTGCAAGAGTATCAGCTTCAGACCCAGTCCTTGCACTGCTGAGAACACATGGCAAGTTATGTTACTGCTCTGCCTCGGCTCTTGCACTCAAGACCACCCACTTCCCTTCCCGTTCTGTCTGTGGCAGATGCTACACAGGGAGAACATGCAACAACAAACAGCTCCAGAATGGCCTTGCTTGGATACTCCACACCAGGCTGTATTTTAATTTCTGAGTTGTTTGTGGGTTTTGGGGGGTGGGGATGGTGAATATAGAGCTGGTATAATTCAAGTAGGACTGATCAACACATTAACAGAAACACTGGGTAAATAAGCAGCTTGGCCTTGTTGACCCAAGCAGCACATCTATTCTTTAGCTAAACTCACAAATGCAGTATTATCCCTGTGCACAACATGGATTAACTAAGTCAACATAATGCACTGCTGAAGACACACACGCTTCTCCAATGAAGGGAAGGTCAAGAAGCAGTCACTTGCCTAAGAATAGAATTTTATAGTTCATTGAAAACACAATCAGAAAAGACTAACATTTTACAGCTCTGCTAAGTACACATTTGTCCTATTTCCATCATCCCATTATGAGGATGGCACAGTTACAAATTCCAGGCCCATGACAGAGTGAATCAGCACCGAGGGGGAAGATCCTCACCCCGGAACTCCTGCGGATTCCATGCGGTTGGCCAAGGACACGTCGTGTGACCAGACGTCGTACTGCCACTTCCGCAGGCCGATCACCCCGCACAGCACGTTCCCGGAGTGAATTCCAACTCTCATGTTGATATCTACTCCTGTGGCTTCTCTCACCTTCCTGTGGAGGGACGAGGGTATTAGAGCAGGAGATACACTTTTCGTTTTCTTCCCTCCTACTGGAGATCTGTTCAGGCTTATACGCTTAATGCAAAGAGAAGAGACAAACTTATGACCTAATGCCTAACTACCCAATTATAGCTAATAAACACACTTTGAATGTTGACAAGAAAGCTAAGAATTACTTCATTTAATGTATTCATAGTCTTGGCACATTAAAAATGTGTAATACTTACTTGATTGCTTCACAAATGTCGAGTCCCATTTTAACACAGTTCCTGGCATGAACTGGTAAGGACACAGGTAGGCCTGAGACACAGTAGTAACAGTCTCCCAGGATTTTTATTCTCATGCATTCATTCTCCTGTGAAATAACAGTAAACATATTTAACAGGAGAAAATGAACTCCAAGTAGGCTAACAGCACCAAAGCCAGTGGTTTGAGAAAGTAAGGCTTTGTTGAATCCTTGTTGAAGCAAAGCTTCCTTCTTTTTCCCCACATCTGAATGCCCAGACACTGCTCACTGGAGAGCAACAGAAACAACCACTTCAAGAATTTCTGAAATAAAATCACCTTACTTGTTTCTCACATTTTTCTTGGAACTGTGTGCAGTTTAAAAACTATAAATTAAAATAAAACTCACAGAATTTACCATCTAAAGAATCAAATCTACTTATCTATCTTTTAATCTTCATTGTTATTAACACTTGAATTATGGGCAGCTTGTTCACCTTTTCCTCAGTTTTTGCACGGCAGCCTCATATATTAAGATGCTAAACCTAGTAGCTGTACAAAAGCAAAATGGGGTTATTTTGTTGTTTCAAAGATGGCTGAAGAGGAAGATGGTACCCTGCAGTTTGCTATTGCTAATAAAAAAAAGCCACGATATCATATGGCCACCAAAAAAAATTTTTCCTAACTGTGCAGCAGAGGATATGGCTCTGTTGGAGACTGGCAGGAGAGAGGAAAGAGGAAGAGCAAAAAGCTTCTCATACTGTCTTTTGTTAACACTTTACTGAAGAGTTGTACCTGAAGAAAGATTTCAAGCAAGCCAGGGCTAATTCTGCAAGGCTGTTTAATGTTTGACTGATAAGCAGAGATGGCTTAATTTGGGCCAGCCAATACCAGCTGTCCAACCCTACCTGCTGTAAGAACACTCCAGCAGTTCCTAAATCAACTCCAAAATCAGCCCAAATCTGCAGCAATTTACCAAACTGAGCTGTTCTCCCTCATCAGTCAAAGCCTTAAGGGAACATCCATCATTCTCCACCATCTTAATCCATCCCAGTAGGTTCTGAGTGTTGCTACAAGTGACAGCCTGAGATGGGATCAGCAGGGAGAGCCAGCCCTAGATTAGAGCTGTTGGACTTCAGTATCCAGCTCAGTGTCCAGCTTAGCCATCCATTTTTATTAGGTAAATTAGAGCCCACAACACTCGTACATTATGGAAAAGATGACAGAATACTTCCTGGCAGAACAAAAATAGCACAAAAAGCAGCAATCTCTTCTCACAGCTCAACCACAGAGTTGCAAAAGGCCTTGACTCATTAAATCCAAAAGACTTTGACTCACTAAAGACAATTAAACATGGCAATTTGCAGACAGGAGTGAGAAATTAAAACATATCATGAAAAATTTAGAATCTTTACTATCTTTGTATTTGAGAAACAGTTAAAAAAATGACCAAATGTCTAACTTCAGCTTCTACTTTGGCATTAAAAGCAATTTGGCATTTGGCAACTAAGATGACATGACTTATTTTGCCTCAACAGCTGCTTTGGAACTGTACAATTGCAATACAGCTAGTTATGACTCTCTTTGTTAGTAGCTGAAGATTTAACAGCAACTGAATTCATATAAATGCAAATATTAGCAATATCATTTAGTCAAAAAGGTTAACTAGGATTTAAGAGAGGTTTTAATCAGTGGTAGATTTAAGAATTTATTAGATGACATCCACAAAGGTTAAATTAAAGTAATTTCACTCCTCTGCTATATTGATAATTTTAGAGTTCTCACTTTTTCTGAAGAATTTTTAGAATTTCACAAACCCAAGGTTCTCCAAGTTTGGTAATTTTCTAATTTTCATTCAGTATATCCAGATATAACCAATTATGAAATCTAACCAAACTCTTTAAACAATGAGAAGATTTGATAGGCAGTCATCAGTCTTGACTAATGCTTTACCAATGCTAAATTTCTAAAACCAGAATCTGGGTTGGTATTTGGTTTTTTGAAGTCACATAGGATGCAATAAAATGCAGCATTTATTTTCTTAAAGCCATAAATGCATCATAATACTGACAGAAAAATCAATTGATATGTCAGAACATATATATTGGATTGGGGATAGTTTTAAAAAATAATAAAAATCATCGTGAAAATATGTAAATGATACAAATATGTAAATGATAAACTGAGTTTGTGATTACAGCTGCAAAGAAATTAACCTCAAGGAGCATTTGGAAGAGGTAAGAACTGCCAGGTTGAAGGGTCACTATTGATGGTATGTCTTAGTAGGGACCACTTTAAGCTACTTCCCATTCTTACACTTTTCTGCAAGTATTCATTAGTAATTAACACTCCTGAGCAAAAGGACTCTTTGTCTGCTGCCTCTGAATTGATGGATTTAAATGTGTGTCAGAGTTCTCCATTTGTGGAGTCAATACACAGTCCCTCAAGCTGAGCACAACAAAGCTGCTCCTACAGCCCTATTACAATCATTTATCACCATCAGACAGCTTCCTGAGCAATACAGATAAACCTTCAAATTTAAGAATTGGAATTACAGTAACAACTTGCTAAATTCCCCATTTTTGTTTTAAATTTTGTTTTAATGTGATTTTGCTAGTTAGCTTTAAAGCCAAAGCAGCCTTCCCTTCCGGATTTCAGAAGCACTAATACCCAAGTGCTTCCTGTTGTGAAAGAAAGGCTTCTCTTTCCAATGGTGGCTTTTATTCTATAGCACAAACTGTAAACCTACCTTTGCAATCTCATCAAACTTTCCAAAAAGTTCGTTCAACATCACTACGAGGTCCTTAGGAGAGCAGTCACTGGCCAGGCGAGTAAATCCTACAATATCTGCATAAAGAATGCTGGACAGGAACAAAAGGAAAAAACAGGATAAGTGAAATATGAAAATAAGTCAATGCCACAGTCAGCATAAATATTAAAATGCATTTTATAGAAAGCATCTGTATCTTTGGAAAACAACTCCAGAAGAAAGGGTTCAAGTGTCTCTACTGATTTAGAAGACAGCTTGCCAGCTCAAGACACATTTTCTTCCTATAACGGGAGAGAAGCTCACTTCAGCCTGAAAATCTGCCTCCAAATTTTAATTTCACTGGACCATATGCACTGTTAGGAATCAGCAGCTTATATTAATATAATTGCTTCTAGAGTTCCCACTTACCTAACATTTTGGTGCCTTTTTACATATAGGCTGTGGAAATTATTGTCATGCATTTGCCTATTATCATTAGTTTCCTTTAGTCGCTCAATGATTGCCAACTTCATTTCCATAGAGATATGAGCTGGCAGGATGGATAAAAGCAAATTTTCCTAAAAGGAGGGGGGGTAAAAAATTATTAACACAGTAAATTTGAAGCAGCAGGATTTTAGTGACTGCAAGAAGGCATTAAAAAGTAAGCAAACAAACAAACAAACGCCTTTATTTATTAAAATAGCTTTTGAGTAATGCATGTCAGATTTTCCAGAAGACACTTTTATGTTTCTGTTCTCAAAATTATTGATATCACAGTTATGCAAGGATGTTGCAAACTTTTTCTTTTGTTTCTTGTGACCTAGATGTGGCATCTCTCTGTAACCATGGAACAAAAAAAAAAATCAGTATCCAGTACTGCAATTTCTGGACAAATTACGTTTTATTTTGTCCACTAATCTCAGTGTTATGTTGTTGTTGTCTGATTAAGCTGCTGTAAAAGTTTATATTCCGTAACTAACAATCTATCCAGTATTAAAAACCCTCATAAATTCTCAAATGCTGCAAAAGCAGCGACAGATACGAAAGTGTCGACAACGTGCTGTTACAGCTTAACTGAGCCAGGAAGCAATGCCACTGAAATGAAGGCCTTTGAACTGAGCCAGAACACAGACTCCTCAAAAAACACTTCCATTGTGTGGCTATTCCAGGCACTGTTTTACACTGGCTTCAACTCAAAAGCCTATTCTTCAAAGAAGACCCTGGTAAGTTGCTGGGCAGAAGAGGAAGACAAAAAGAGAATACTTTAACCCAGGAAGGGCTCTTCCACCCCAGAGGCAGAGACACCACAGCAGAGGAAATGTTGTGTGGAGCAGCTACGAGCAGGAACTTTTTCAGATGACATCAAAGGCAAGGTCAGTGCATTGTGTAACTAAAATGCTGTCCCTTTGGACCAGATCTTTGCCTCACTTTTTTCAATACCTTATGCAGCAGTGTGTAGATGGCAGTAAGCTGCCTGGGTTACTTAACCACCAAAAGTGCCTGCCACCAAAAAGAAATAGCTTGGGATCACAGTGGGAAGAAGTAGTTCTTGAGCATCAAGTAGTTGGACAAGAGTTTGGTTTGAGACTGCCCCAGAAACTGAAACACCTCCTTCCCCTCATCTACCATTTTAGTACCAGGAGAATGAACCTTGGGGAACAATTTAAACTGACAGTAGATTCCCAGTGGATATAATAGGACCACTGGAGGCTGACACATTATACAGTTTTCAAGGAAGTGATGAAGAACCCTGAACTGCAGTTTTCACACAACTTAAGCACATTTACACTTCAAACAAGGAGACATTAAAAAAGAAATAAACTCAAAACCAAAGCCCTAAACCCCCTGGAAGTCACCACACTGCCCAAGAAATGAGAGCACACTGCCTGTGTAAGGTGATCAGATGGTTCCCTGGTGGCTGTGTGGGGAAACTCTGCCAGGACTTTCATGCAAATTTGTCATCTCATCTCACAAGATTAGCATCAGGAACAGATTGCACTAGCAGTGTGGTATTTTCTTCTTTTCAGTTTGATCAGGTCAGTCACTTTACAGCCCCTTCTTTTTATCTAATAACTGGTGGGCAGAGAACACAGCACACATCAGCCTTCTAGACTGCTATTCTTAACCCTACTTATACCAGGATAAAAGAGGAAAGGTGCCCTAGTTATAGCTTTGATACTTCTCTACAATCCTTCCTCAGTAAGAAATTATTGTTCCTTCCTTATTCCTTAAATACCTGTGGAGTTTATGGAAATAAATTATTTATATTCAACTACTGTAATCTATTACATGATTGTTTTCTCCCTTTGGGTCCAATTTTCTCCTTCTAGCAAAAGAAAAATAATTTGTGAGACAAGAAAATATAAGAACAACTAATACTTTGTTAGGGAAGCATAAAAGGGAAGCATAAAACCAACTGCTGAAATCACCTTAGATGTAATTTCAGGGCATTAAGGACATGTTCTTTTAAGTTACCTTGAGCCAGTCCTAGGAACACTTTATACAGGAAAAAAGTAACTAAAATGACTGGCAATTATATTCCTGTTAGAAAATACTGTGATTTTCATATAGACAAGCCCCAGAGATCAACTTCCTCCCTTTAACTTCCTTCTTTTGTTACAAATGGCACAACTCTTATTTTTGACACTAGGTGGGTATCACAAAGACTGGACCAAGCCTTTCAACATGCATTAGTCACCAACCTCATGAAATTTATACTGACTTTGGAAATGAGAACCAGCAATTCATAACGTGAATTAGCTCACTCACTTGTTGCCTCTTTTCAATCTTCAGTTTCATTCGGACCTGAATGCACTTCAACGTGTATCTGTACAAATCCCACGAAGCAACCTGCATTTGGCGCTTGTGAAATGCACCCATCAAGTTACCACAAAGGAAAATGACAGCATTGGCAAGCAGCTGCACAAGAAGAAAAATATTTACCTACTGCACAGCAGTCATTGATACTTCACTAACACACATACTAGTCCCATAAAAACAATTAATCCCAGACCGCCTTCCATTTCCTCCTACCCTGCCACATAACAAATCACAGTGCTGCAATTAGCCAGGATGTAGCTGGAAAACATAAGCTAACTTTCAGAGTCACCAGCATTCCTGTACAAATATACAGTAGAATAACGAAACAGAAAATTCTGCTACATCATTTAACATCTATTTCCAGGCACCAGTGTTTGATTTATGGAGAAACCAGTCTACAAACTCGTGCATCAGCACTCTGTGTGGAGTCTGGCACACACCTGCACCAAATGAGCTGGGGTGCTCCTTTGAACACACCCTATTAATAAGTGTTGGGAACCCTAAAAACACTCAGCAGCACTCCCAGGCCCTGCTGCCACCCCAGGGCAGCAATGGCCCTTTTGATCCACCCTGTGGGCAGTGCCTGATAAAGTTAGATAGACCCACCTGAAACAGCACAGATTGGGAAGAATGATTGTGACAAAGTTAATCATATTTTTAATAACTTTGTTTAAAAATTAATAGAACAATCCTGCTTTTTCCACTTAGGTCAGAAAAACAAAATGCATTATAGATTTAAAAATTCACAATTTTATGAAAAGCCCGAGTTTTTTGGGGCCCAAGCTCCAAATCCATGAACTTGAAACATCCATGTGGAAGTCTGGAACTTTTCTAAACAGAACAGTTATGCCAATAGCAAATGGTAATATGACTGGGGTGTTTAATTACTTAACCAAGTGGTATTTCCTTACCTGAAATAGAAAGGATTCCTTCTTTTCCTGAGAAGTCATGCTTACCACAGTGCTTAGAACAATAATATGGGAGAGAGCAGAAAGAACACTAATTATGACAGCACCTCTCATCCCAAAGGGTAGCATGGTATAAACTGTGAAGATTATGAACAGAAAGAACGGCACCTTTGGGAAAAGAAAAAGAGAAGAAAAAAGAAAAAAATCACATATACACATTATTGGGTGTCTCCCAAAAATCACTACAGAAAAAGGAGCAAAGCTGCAGGATTTAAGACTGAACAATTAAATATTCACGTTTCAAAAGCACAGTTAAAACCATAAGGACTGTGGTATTTCTAAGAGATTTGAGGGAACTGGCAGCTACAGATTCACAGACAAGATTGTTTAACATGACATATCACCTATAATTTTTTCAGCTGTCCTTGCCCTTTATCCTGAATTTATCCATTACAGCTCAGATGCACTTTGGATGCACTTTGTACTCACACGTCAGGAACAGTGTGTTGCAAGGGTAGCAATACTGAATGGAATCAGATTTCTCACCTTCTCCAAGTTATTATTCTAATTTTAACATCACCCAATCGATGTGTATGTTTACCCTGTGCTTGATAAAACCCAAAAGTCCAACCAATGCTTCCTGGTGCTGACAAAAAAGAATAACCTTTATTGCCACTGACTACGTACTTAGACTTGCACAGATTTTACAAAATGCACAACAGGCACTAAACTTCAAGGGGTCAGTAGCAAGGCCTATAATACTTAAATCCATATTTATAGATTTTTTGAAATGTTAGCTTATATATGTGGAAACTAACAACTCCGATGAGAGGAAAATAGTGCAGCATTCCTGGCTCAGCTCCACCTCATCACAGCAACTCAACTTGTGCCATTCCAGACAGGAGCTTCCTTCGAGGAAGTCTCAAGGCCCCATCTGCACTTAAAGGTTTTGCCAGAATAGATAGTTTGGTTGGGACAACAATAAAGAAACAAACAAACAGGAAAATAAAACTTTTCATTCAGCAAAAGTAATCGTCCCATGTTCATCTTTATTATTTTAGTTGGATTAAAAACATTTTTCTGCCATATTTGCAACCCCATCACACAATGTTCTGAACGCTGTGTTATAGTTTTATAAACATGGAGAAGCAAAGGCCAAATCTGCATTTAAGCAGTAGCTTTAATTAGTGATAAATTCATAAAGAGGTGAAAGTCTGAAATGAGTCTATTCACTTCTACATTCCAGAATAGTGTGTCCTTATATTTTAGACCTAAAATAAATATGAGTGAGTTATTACCACATGACAGCACCACGTTGACTTGCAGCACTGAAAGCAGCAAAACCAAATCTTGCTTCATTACATATTTGTATGTCTATTTAACAACAGCAAATTTGGGGTTTTTTCCTAAGGTAATAGCTACTTCCTCAAGTTAAAAAATACTGAACAGCAACTCTAAATGCACAATGCTGGATCCAGGCCACAATGCAAATCAGATTTTGGTTGTTTAACTGATAATTTATATCTTTCTTTATTGAAATAAAGAGGGGAAGGGAAAGAGCCAGTAAAACAAGATAAAAAGTCATTTTTATTTGATTAAAAACTCTTCTGCTTGCATTATGAGAGCTTAGGAGGAGTTTCCTACAGATTATGATATTTTTGGCATCATGAAATCGCCCATCTTCTGATCAGAGATAGCAAGCAATGAACTTTAGCCACACCCAGCTATGCCAGGATGTGTCATTAATTCTTATTGTTCACTTCACCTCTCCCACTGACTTAAAAACGTGCTCCCTAGGGCACACCCAGCTCTGGAGTCCTTTATACATTTCTTGAACACCTCTTTGACCCATATTCATTAACAAAGCAAGTATTATTATGAAAAATTCTCTTGGAGATTAATTCATAGTAATTCAGATTTAGTAAAAGTACTAAGTAATAATACAATTAATTTGCAACTTAAAGATGGAATTCCCACATAGATTTATGCAGTTATCTGATTTTCTCAGCTGAACTATACTGTCACTATAACAAAGAATACAAACTAAGATTTACTGTAATAAATCAGTAAAATCAATTTAGAAAAATGAACCCAAATCTCACAAAAAAAAAATTACTAAAAATGATGTTATAACATTCTGAAAAAATGAAGCACACAAACACATTCCCATACACCACCAGTTCTGTGTAAGTACCTGAATGAACAAGGCACACATACCTGTTCCCACAGCTGGTAATCATTTTCTTTCTCAAAAAGAGATACATATCCTACAGTCAAGAAGCACATCCAAATCATCACTCCAAAGAACGTGAGCCACCTTCGGAACAGGGACTCGATGCACAACAGCAGGTACGTGACTGCAAATATGCCCAGGGCAGCACACACTGTGATGATGAAGGCAGGATGGGAATGTGCCACCTGCAAAAGCAAAACAAAGTGTTACAGTCGTCCAAATGACCCCTTTGGAAAAATGAAGGATGCATCTGTACTGTCCTGGGAACAGCCTGGATACCCTTAGCACACTGAATTGAGTTCCTAAGCAGACCAGCTGTGGCAGCATTAACGCTTTCTGATGTTCACCCATATAGAGATGATACAACAATACTATTCTAGATACTCATTCTACCTAAGTTCCACCATTATTACTTTTCAAATTAGTGGTTTGGGGGTTATCTTTTAAGCTAAGTTGTAACTATACTATATCTATAATGCAGATGCACCCAAAGAAATGTATTTAAGGAGTTCAAGCTTTGCTAAAAAGCTTGCTCAAAAAAAAGCTTTAGCTAAAAAAACTTTCCAAGATTTACAGGAGATGACTTGTCACAAATAGTGTCGCTACTTCTTTCCTTTCCTAAGAAATAAAAGTTAAAAGGGTTACAAGTGCAAATGGCAAGATCAGATTTGTTGCTAAAGAGGAACTTAAAGACACTTTATCATGAAGCACAGTGTTTGGAAAGCAGTGTTAGAAGGCAATGAAAGATTATAAAAGCTACCTTACTACCTTTTTGCAATATTATCTTTACTTAAACTCCCTTTTTTACCAGTTGTCAACTGGGCTGGCTTGTAGAACACTGAATTTCTTTTCAGAAAATCATATTACACTACATAACAAAAAATTCTTTGAGCCTCATGTCTCTTATGCCTATAGGGACCCTGCTCTTTGCTAACTGCCAATTGATTCAACAGATCAAATGCTGTATTGGGAGAATCCTACTGTGTATCTACAAATCTTTAAAAAACCATATCACCTCAGGAACTCATAACAACAAATCACTATGATATTTTACATGCCTTATATGACTAAAAAAAATACGAGAAATTCAGGACATTTTATCTCATGCTCTTGTTCCTTCCTTGGCTCTTTTACTACTTATTTATTATCATAACTAGCATTTAACATAGTTTATTATTTGTTCAAAACATGTAGAAAGAAAACAAACAGCCCTTATAGTAACTGTGCATGTGCCTGACAGCACTGTCTCCTTTCTTCCCATCCCTTCAAAAACATACAGTATTACATTCACAATTACTTGATTTCTTTTAGCACTGCAACTGTGATACCATGGGGCTATGAGCGTTATTTAGCCAAAAATGTCTGATAGTGACTCCTCATCATCTTTGAAAACACTGAACACAGAAAAAAAAAAAGTATACTCACATCAGTGACAAAGAAGATGATAATTAGAGTAGTCCAGAAGATGATTGCAATGAAGAGCAGCAGTAGCAGGAGGGGATGCTGCTGGCTTGTGTAGCGGTACTTCTCATAGAGCGGGTCTGATATCCTGCAGTCATCATTTTCATTGAAGAAGTATTTACCTTTAGCTGGCATTTTCTCCCGTGTTGGTTGCTATTTCTCTCAGTTCCCAGTGCACACAATAAGACACAGCTGAAGCTACGGCTTCAAACAGAAGTTTTGTCTTCTCTCTGCTGCCTCTGTGATCTTCAGGCACACCGAGTAACCCACGTTCTCTGGTTTTGCTTCTCATGAGCATCAAGTTCAGATTTCCAATGCAATCAAAAGCCAGAATTAACCTCCCCAAAACCACAGGCAATTCATCATCAGCTCTACGTATGAATCTCCAGATCAACTTGTATTTGTGCAGATAGGAATTTTTGGCATGAGGGTTTTTTAATTACTATTTTGCAAGTCTCCAACTCCTTTCCAAGAAGGTTGACTCTCACTTCCTGGGACGAACACTGCAGAGAGACAGTACATTAATGTGTTCAGTTAAGCGTATGCAATGTTCCCCAAGGCGGGGGGTCAGGGGGGAGGGAAATAAAAATAGTTCATGCCTTAAACTTTCTACCTGCATGCTCTAACCAGTGAATAAAAGCTGTCTGCCCCGGTGGGGGGGCAGCCCAGGAGCCCCGTGTGTGGGCAGTGCTGCCCAGCAGCCACAGTGCTCACCAGCAGCTGCTCTGCCCACCCCAACCCCTCCTTTCTCTGGCAACTCAAACATTTTCATATGTACATTTTCATACTACATGGGTTTTTTTTTTTCCTTTGAGCAAACAGCAGTTTCCATGAGCATGTTGTGTAACTGAATGCTCACACCTCTTTTGAAGTTGTGTGCACCTGTGTGTGTGTGTATATATAATCATGATACACTTTGCGTTCTTTTCCAAAACATGCATCTTAAAAATTAAGAAATCCTTTCTTTTATTCCTTTCACACTTCAATTAAGGCATAGAAAATGAGAAAAGAATACAGCTGTCCAAGCCAAAATTCATTAAACTTTTTTTAAGGGATACTTAACATCTAGTTCCATATATTTAATTCCATTAAGAGGGATCATGTTTCCAAGGCAACATGTGTGTTCTGTTAACAATGAACATTAAGGAGTGAACTGTATTGTTAATTACTAATGATCAATGTTCTTCAAATAGATTCATGAATATAGTTCACCCAGTGCCAAGAGCCACAAAAAAAAAAAGGCGGGGGGATAAGACGGAGGGAAGCATGAAAAACAGGACTTCAGAAGTCTTATTAAAACTTGATAACTGGACCACAACTTCTTTGCCACTTGACTGCCATCACCATGGTACCCAAAGCCAGTGCTCCAGGGAGAAAGAACCCAATAAACCCACCTTTTTTTTTTTTTTTTTTTTAGAAAAGGCAGATCTTAGCCAGCTACTTTCAAAAGGTAAAATGTTTAACTTCACACACACATTTCTACTGCATTCACACTACAACCAGAAAAAACTTTCAGAAACCATACTGAGTGATTTCACCTCTGTAAATAGAGCCAAACATTACCATACTACCCAATTATTAACGACCAAGCAGGCAAAACCAGATATATCAATAGTGAGACTGGACAAAAAAAAGTGAACTTCTGCAAAATGAGTAACTACAACTTCTTGCCCAGACTATATCACAGACTTTGATTTATCACAAAAACAAAAGAGACTGTATTGCATCACTTTTACCAAATAAACTGACATATGTATTAAAAACAGAAATAAAATTGAAGACACCTTTTAATACATCTTTCCCATGTATAGTTAATGGTACACCTAATATGTCATCAGTACTGGTTATTACTGAGCTTTTCTTCATAATTAAGGGCCTCCCATTTCTCACTTGAAAAAAATCATTCTGGTACTCATACTGTCTGCATGTGAATAATAATGCTCTTGCAAAGAAGTGTAAATCTCAGAAATCACTGCCACTTAAAGGAGATATGAAGAAGAAATTGAAACATTTGCATAATTTTTTTAATGCATTTTCCAAGTCCAAGTTAATTGCTGAACTACTTGAGTATAAGCCAGGCTTTTTTCTGAAGATAGAACTGCCAGAAGGTGTGTACAGGGGCAAGCATTTTAATCTGAATTTGTATTTCAATAACAAAGAAAACATGCTACAAACAGTAGGAAGATTTGGACTGTGATGCACCAGAGAGACAGGCAGCTCACTGAACAGTCTGAAGAATTCCTTTACCATGGGAGTGGGGGTGCAGGAACACACAGCCTGATGTGAACCACTATGTAAA